TAGACAGAGGATAATTACACCTTCTTTGGGTAAATATTGCCCAGTTTTCGAGGCCTCTTTTCCCGCTCGCCCAGCTGCAACCTTTATCCTGTCATGTGTTAATTAACACCATTTCTCCTATCCTGTGACGTCATTCTGGGTGATAAAATATCAGTCAGCCAAAACAAATACTTTAATCTCAGATTATTTTCATGTCAGTTGCCTGGATAAGCAGACGCTCCCATTTCCATAGCAAGGTACCATACTTCACCTGTACACTGTAGTGTTCGTTGACCTCAAGATGAAAAGTGCGGCCAGTACAAGATCAAGGCCCCATTTTACTGTTGCATTATGATTTTTCAAAACATGAAATAGCCGTCTGGCAAAATGACGGTGACAGATGTTTTTGATTATCTTTTCAGTTTACATACAAATATCAATTACAATAAATGATATCGATAGGAACGTTCACAAGTAACTGATTTGAAACTTTACAACAACAAACATTTGTGTTGAGCTTCGAGTGAGGTATTGATTTATGTTGGTTAGTAAAATCATGCCGAGTGAATCGGTTGGTTGTCATGGTTTCATCTTCCTCCGTGGTTTTGGATGGCCTGATGCTTCTCTGTAACTATGCGGGCTTGTTTCCTGCAGGTTCAGGTGTCAAACACTGATATGCTAACTACTGAATTGTCATTTTGTGATGGTAGAGCCAAATTAAATTAATTACAGGATTCCTAACATTAGTGGGGATGGATAGGGTAGGGGTTAGTTGTCGTAGCATTAGAGGTCATTCAATTCCTCACTCTGGTTGTTTCTATTTGTGGAGGGAAACAAAACTTTGTTGCAGTTGCAGGATTTTATAATGACATACGCTTTTTGTGACTGTAATCTATAACCATCAGAAAATGTTTTTGATTAAATATGGCCATAGTTACTCTACCTTTCTTATCAGCTTGGTTCTGGGAGATAGTTAAGACATAAATGAAGGTCTAACTAATTTCCACTGTAAATCGTTGGCGGGAACTAATGAGCCACTCGAACTCCATCGCCCATTATAAACCCGATATGACATGGCCATAAGGACCGGGCCCGGGCCCGGGCTGGCTGGTCGCTTCAGCCGTTTGAACCATCGAACTCAGCGGTTGCACGGTGACGACCATGCATGTTGCACGGCCTAATGAAACTTGCAAGATTATCTACCCATTAAGATAATTCTAAACTTTCAATTGGCCGCTACAGTTTTCCGTACTTACTTACAAATTGTCTCACATGCACCAACTATTCTATAGTTATGAAAGTTGCTCATTCGTGGGGGCAAGACATGTTCCTAGGCTTGGTGCGGGCGCTCCTGAAATGAACAAGTTATCATTGAGATATAATCCAGACACATCCACAAGTGCACCTCTGAATCACCTCTTACTGCCCGACTGCCTGTTGTAAGTCCAGATAGCCCCGTTAGCAACCATGCATATCTACCCGTTTGAGAAGAACCCCCCTTCCCACATAATCGACGGCGGTGCTCATGAATGGAGAGTAAATATATATTTTAATAAGGTGTCATAAAGCTCACAACAGTTAATCCATTTCACATCTGCGCAGCGCTCCATGTTTGATCATGATAAGCAGACGGTGCGGGGGGAATACTCGTTAGCTGACGTGAGCCTTAATTGGAGAGATTTTAAAATGGTGTTTCACCCTTCATCTCACAAATAAGTTTGTGAACTCATCAAAATATGCTAATCCGTCTTTATGTTTAATATCAGGATATAATCCTGCTAGCTTGCATCGTAAAAACATGGTTACATCGTTGGGTAGTGTTATGGCTCTGGACGACTAGTTAAGTTTCGCCTACCGTCGGAAAACTGAGCAAACTTTAGGCAGATCTTTCCTCCAAGTTGTGGGAATTGATATGAGGAGCAATCGCTCTTGTCGAAAGAAGTTTTAACAATAGCAAGCGAATGCAAAACAGTCCACAATCGCACAACCTGCAATCTATCAAATAAACATTAACCCTAACAGTCCCAAATCCTCCAGTTTCAATATGATTTTACATACACCCAAGGGGGTTAGGGGTAAACAAGCCCGTTGGAGTATGGGGGTGGAGTTGCCACCCCCGGTAGACATATTCCATTTTGTAGGGAATTAAAAGCGCAGCATTTCAGACACGGTATCGGTACCAACCACTTCTGGGGGAGGTAACAAATATCATGCTTAAAGGAGGAACAGTTTCGGATTGTCATTCTCAGAAAACTTTCTATTTTCACCTCCCACGCAAGACCTAACTATGCCATGCAGTGAACCAACCTATATCAGTCAGCTGTCACTTGAAATAAAAAAACAGGGGATCATTTTGATGGACAAGGCAATCAGCTTGAACTGAGCAACCGGTCGATACGTCAGACACGCATAAGGTGTTGGAATTGCTTGTTATTCCCACGTACAGCGCATTGCTCGTTGTCCCGCCGTAAAAAAGCGTTCGCGTACGGCGGCTCAAGACAGGCAACCGGAGGCCGCGTAATGAATTCTTCCCCAGTAGATGGAACATAATCGAAAAGCCATTTGCCATGGTAATTGTTCCACTGCCGAGCGGGTCACGCAGGAGGTGGTTGTTAATCTTGCTCGTGAAGACGTCTTCAAATCTTGAAGAATGATTCCCCGTAATCAAGAATTCCCAATCCACGATTATCCGGGAGCGAATGTTAGTTGCAGAGGAACAACGTGTCTCCGTTAGCCGAGCCCAGTTCCTTCCTCAACCCTTGAACATTCAAGACATCCTGCCTTCACGATCGCACCATGTTCAGAAAATGCATTAGGGCAAGCAATTCTTGTGAATGTTTACGAGCCAAGTACCGTGTTCACTCCTCGTGCATCATTTGCCCTTGGACAGTGACAAACTCTTGCAGTTTTGATATTGGTCATCGATGCATCGTACATTCCAAGTACTTGAGAGATATGCTAATCGATAATTATGCACAAAGGCCAGAGTGTGCATTGACGTGGTTCTCATATAAAATGGGTTCGGGAAATAATGGGAAAAAGAAAATAGGCCTAACCCAATTTGGTTATTTGTCAGAATGCAATGGTTTCCATGTTTGTAATGTGTCTTTTGTACTGTCTTATTTGTTTCTTGTAATGGCACGCTCGATTCAAGCTTTGCTTTCAAGGTTTTGCCATCTCTAATGGCCGACATCTCATGCATTATTAGAACTTATATTTTACCAAGAGAAGGAAATAAATGTAGGGTAATTGAATTGAAGTGTTCGTAGGAAATTTCTATGTCTCCAAGCCGCCTCTGTCTGCCTCAAGGTGGATTCTAGTCAAGCGAATGCATTTCCAGGACATTTTCGAGATTCTGATGCGAACCCTCCGGAGATTTCTTTTGACCTTCTTCACGAGCAGTAAAAAAAATCAGGTTCTCTCTATCGTTGATTTAAAAAAACCTCTCGTGTCTTCCTTTCTGCTCAAAATTGTCCCTCGCTTGATCGCTTGTCACGTCTTACAATCCACCAATCCAAACTCTTATTATTTGAACAGAAACTTCGAAAAGAAACACCCCAACACAAAGGCCTCGGGACGCATTGTCCTGCCGGCTTGTTGAGAAAAGGATCGTCAGTCGAAGGACACGGGTCAGACATCTTTGTGAAGTCCCTAAGTGCTAATAACACCTGCCAAAAGAGCGAATAGTTTATTTTGGCTCACCTATACTTGCACCGAGAGTCCATTGTCTCTGGTTTTTTTATACCAGTACATTTACTACTCAGTCTTTGCTTCGCGCCCGAGCGAGCAGTTTGGATGGCTGTTGCTAAGGGTGCACGGTGTAAGTCGCGTCGCAAACAAGCCGAGCTGTGTAACACCCTGCCTCATAGCACAACTTTCTGCAGGCACAAAGAAAGTTTCATTAACGAACGTCATTAGCTTTCTTGCTTTCTTAATAATGAAAAGTCTGCAAAAAATTGGAGAAATTACTCGCTCTTATTTTCAAAGATTTTTTTCCAGAGACGCTCGGTTAAGGTTCCTGCGAAGTTTAACCTCGCTGAGCTGTTTGGTTTTGTGTCTTTTTGATTACAGGACGGCTTGTTTGTCGAGGACCTGCTCTTGCGTTTGTAGACAAATAAACTTCCAGTGGTAATTATGGACAACATTTGAACAAGTGCCGAAGCCATAGACCTCAGAGGCAAGTTTACACTGCTATGACTTTTTAACAACGTGATTTTAACGTACAATTCACATTTACAGGCTGGTGGTAACTCATTAACTCGGCAAGAATTTGACCAACTTTTGGCAAATATACACCGCAGCAGTGACGGCATTTGATTCCTTGAACCGATGTTGAGCAAGAAGTATACTATCAGATTATTTGGTGTAATTTGCATGCGCAAGAGTATGAAAACCCAGACTAGATACGCATATAGCGTCCGGCGAATGAATACGAGGGTGTAAAACTTTAGGCCTATAAAGCTCAAACATAGGACGCGTTAAGTTCCAAGCAAAAAGGGATTCCCAACCTTTCATCATCTAAATTAGCTACATAAGTTATCATGCATGGATTGAAAAGGAATTCCAAATGACCACAATGTAGTTTTACAGAAACCACTAACGAAATCAAAAAGTAAAATGTATCATTTGGAGAGATGTCGGCTGGAAATACTTGCCTTGTTCGTAAAGTCCCATACGTGTCTTTATTAGAGAATACAGTTCACGATCATGACATTTAAACACAACACATTCCCCTCGGTACAAGTTATATATGAAGGGTTTTGCTGAATCCGCCATTAAGTATATTAACCCTGCATCTCGTTTCATCTTTTCAAAAAGATATAACAAAGAACAAGTTATCTGCCAAAATGTCTCGCACTCCATTTCTTTGGTCTTTGCATGAATTCACTCTGAACATTCGCAGTGCATTTTCACATCAGTATCAGTAAAAAGTTTATTAAATTGTCAGGTAAAGTTATGTAACAGATATATGGAACGGAACTACCCCAAGCGTTGGTTAATCCGGGTAAAAGTTCACCATAAGGGAAAGGCAGTCAGTATTTTAACCACCATTAGTCTGAATAATTATGAACTGGTTGCAGAGCAGTCGTCTCTTAGGAAGTGCGTATATCCTGAAATATTATGTACCAGTAGCGGATGTGTTATGTACAAGTACTGGACTACACTTCATATTCGAGGGATACTTTTTAAGAAATATTTCATCCTGATACGTCCATTTTGAACAAATGCATTGTCATCGCAAACGCTCAGGAGATGGCAGGCCCCTGAAGATTTTCCGTATATGCTGAGCCGTCTTTGATTCAATTTAAATCCGGTTATATTGAAAACAAAACAACCTTAATTCCTTGAGGATGTCACTTGTGGAAGTTTGGGGGCAGTTTATGAATCTGTTTCAGATATTTTTGCTCATACTCGCTGTAATGATTATGCTGAGCTATAAGTATTCTCACGAAAATCGTCCCCCCCTCAAAGTATTGCTCGTGTATACCGAACTTCGTTTTTGACACTCGTCGTTCAAAGTTGGATTAACAAGGTAACATCTATAAGGTTTATACTCTACCTTGAGGGAGAAATACTGAAATCGTAGTTAGGTCATTACAATTAATATGCTGTTTCACAACATAACAATACAACATAAAATAGTCAAAACACATTCACATATGAATTTCTAAAAATCCACAATATAGTTTCCTACAGTTATATGTACATGTTTCCTCCTTGCGTTCTTCGAATTATGGTACAGTTTTTGACGCTTGCGTGTTATTGTCATTCTCATCTGTGGACTGAGTCCTTGTGTTCTGCAGTTCCGTGGATTCAACGTCATTTGTTTGGCTGTCTGTAGGGCTAATGTGTGCCGGCTCTTTGGAAGTTTGGTCGGTCAAATGAGCATCGTCGCTGACCGTAAATGCTCTGTTCGTCACGGCGTAGACGTCGGACGCGTTGGACTGACTGGCGACAGTGGCAGTCTTCGGCTTGGGCTTGGGAGATGCCTCGACAGTCCTAGGGGCATGGTGCGACACGGCCGTCCGCTCCTCGTCACTCGTGTCTATGTCTCGCGGGTTGATACCCCGGCACTGGTAGCAACACAGGACAGCCTTGAAAGCCGACTTGAAGGTCTTGTTCTGGGCGTAAATGAGCGGATTCAGGAAGCTGTTGACGTAGCCGAGCCACACGAAGATCTTAACGGGCAGGGGAGGGAGGCAGTGCCCGCAGTATGGGTCGATGATGTTAACCACGAAGAACGGCAGCCAGCACAAGATGAAACCCCCAACGATAATGGCCAAAGTCTTGGCGGCCTTGCGTTCGCGGGCCATGGTCCTCTGATTTGCCCGCCCACCATTTTTGACCCTGTTGGCTGAGGTGTCGTAAGCGGCAATCTGGCGAGCCTGCCGCCGCGCCACCACGTAAATTCTGGCGTAGGTGAAAAGCATGATCGCTGCCGGAATGTAGAAAGAAATCATGGACGAGACGAGCGCATATGTGGAGTTCATGGCCAACACGCAGAAATAAGGGTCTGAGTACCAGCCGATGGCTTTCAAGTCTCCGTCCTCGTGGAGGTCTAGAGTGACCGGGAGGACGCTGATCAGGAACGATACAACCCAGGCTGTGGTGATGAGGGCGAACGCGGTCCGGCTATTCATGCGCGAGTAGTAGGTAAACGGCGAGGTGATCGCCATGAAGCGGTCCAGGGAGATCACGCACAGGTTCAGGATGCTGGCCGTGGCCGATAGAATATCGAAGGCCTGAAAGGCGTCGCAGAACGCCAGACCAAACGGCCACGAGTCCGTGATCTCGAAGACGGCAGCGAAGGGCATAACCAGGACGGAAACCATCAGGTCTGCAAACGCCAGGGACACGATGAAATAGTTTGTGATTGAGGACCGCAGCCTACGGATGGTTAGAACAGCCACTATGACAAGAAGGTTTCCTGTGATGGAGCACACGATGATCGAGTACAGTACGACGCCCATCAGGACATTCTCAGCCACTGTCCTCCCTCCTCCGGTATCGGTCTCGTTCATATCCATGTTTTGTCTACGAGTGGCAACTTTTCCTCACTGACGTTCCACCGTCCCTAAATGTTCATGTTTACCACCGATCGACCGATAAGGCCGAATTTCTTTCTCGGAATTGAAGAGTTCAGTGCGATGCTGGTGCATTAGTTTAATTGAACGTGAATGCCGACGTCAGAGCGACACACAGATGCGATGATGTCCTTGCGTCGAGTCCATTGGAAGCCTTCCAGACAGCTGTCTGGTCAGATTTTAGCCAGATACGGACACTTCACCATCCTTGGGCAAAGGGACAACCGCCCCGGTCTCCATAGCAAACACTGTGCATCCACTCTTCTCGCTCAGATTCAGAAACACAAGGGAAGAACCCCTAACCAAACCTCGCAGCAGAGTCCCAATGAAAACAGGCCACGATCAGTCCATCACCGGGTATCATTGATCACCGTCCGCGGGCGATTAAGTCGCGTTGTGCCGCTGACAGTTTACGATCTCAGTGTACACAATGGACACAAACAGCCGAAATAAGTAGCAGTGGACCGCTATAATCCCCCGCCGTTTACATCGCGTATTGTGCGGTGACTGTCCCCCGTGGCTATCCCTTAGCCCCCCTCGTTTGGTGACGCGAGGGGGACAGCGAACAATAGTTACTGCCCTGGCAACACGGGGATGCTAGATAAACAAGGATTACACCAAAGGGGCGTTCGACCGTCTCCGCGCGAACAATGGTGCGGGCTTTCGTTGTCTCAAAGACTTTAAAGTTCTGGATGATTCGTGTGTAGCACATCACTACACATCACTGCATACGGTTGACGTCATTGGGGCTAGTGTGATGCAGGGCCTGCCCAGTGCTATCAGAGTTAAGAGTCGATGGTATGCTGATACCTACCAATCTGATTTCATACCATACAAGTTGTGGCCGGTTAGGGACGCTTCAAAAGGCCAGACGGCTGTTTCATAATTGGGATAGCCCACGCCGAGGGCATTGCGACTTGCAAGACAAGGCTTGGCATCTGAAATCTCTTAGAAACTCCTTTGGTCACTTTGTAAGTTTGCGAGGAAACTTCAACAAATGTGACCACCTCACGGTCATCTGGTGTGCTTGATTATGCTCGGTTTTGACGTAGGACGTTCTGGTGACCTCATTCAGGAATCCCACGAAACGGTTGGGCGAGAACCCAACTGAAATATCGTCTGCCATTTGTGAATGTTATATATGTCGGTTTGACCTTCGACGCAGCGCAATCTGCAGATCAAATAAATATAGGCTAACCACAACGATCGCACCGTAGCATATCTTATGAATATTCCCCGACAACTATGCTGCGTCACGCTGTGCCGGACGCGTGTTTGGTGTCACAATATTTATGAGCTCATTTGACGGTTTAAGGGGAAATTGGTTACAAGTCTAGCTATGTCCTCTCCAGATGTTGAGGTTGGAATGTTCCCTTTAAATATGTTCAGATTCGACCAGTTTGCGGCTCAAACAGCTTTGTGGCACGTGAGCAATGGAACTCAAAGATTCAATTAATTTTTAAATGAATCTCCCACAAAAAATCTCAGTTTGATGGCGAAATTACCCACTTGTGCGGAAACGAAGAACCGCGCGTGTCTGGTAAGTGATGTGTCTCGATTCGTCTCCATAACATAACAAGCCGGGCGGTGCGCCCATCTGGTCGTTTAGTCTTCCCGTAAACAAATTCCAGAGAAAGGGCTCCGCCTTTCATTATGCCTCTGGATGAGCGTACATCAAACCAAATTATTGCTAAGAAACAAAGAGCTATCTTTAGTATGCGCTGTGCTGCTTTGCCACCCGGTGACGAAAAGGGAAGTTAAAGTGAGTTTGCAGCTGATGTAAAACATTGTCGGCCTGGTTTGATATCGGGAGGAGGAGACTGAGACGCTAGAAGATGTTGCTATTGTGGTAACCAGTGGAGGATTTTCACGACGTGATATTAATTAATTTGATCGATTTGATTTAATTCGTAACTGTATAGTCTACCTCCCTGTTTGTGCAGTCAGTGAATACAGACCAATTTTTGGTCAACATTTTGCGGTTTATTAGATCCAAAGTGAGCTTTTTCAGGCAGGACCTAATAAAGCCGAACTAGAGCAAAACGTTTGTCTCTAGACATGTTACATACATTGACTTGTTGGGGCACACGAACGACTCGTGGTAATTTTCAGTTGGCAGTTTGAGAATGCCATGAGTTGTGCCGATATTTCTTGCCCAATTTGTATAACAAGAAACCAGGGCGCAAACGTTGAAGTGCAATGTGACGCCAAAATAATTAAGTTATTGGTACATCTATTGACTCGATACCTCAAACGAGGAAGGTTGTTCTACTCACTGTCTGAAATTTTTCAAACGTAGCTCTGTGCAACTCTTGTGTATCGATTGGTGAATTCCGTAGAAATCGATTTCTATTTTAAGCTGTAGCGATTCCCTTTGTTCAGGAGTGGTTTGCCAGGCCGTGTAAATTTAATTGAGGTTCGTACCGGTATTGCGCCTGTGCACCTGGGAGTCGCCAGCAACATGGGGCAAAGCCCTTTCCCCAGGGTGGGGTTAGGTCTTCAAAGCATTCAACAGTTGCATACCAACAAACCCTCAACAGTGTAGGGGAGGAGGGGTCACTTCTGAAGCACTTTCAAGGAAAGTGGAGACTTTCATCTGCTTTTTGTTTTCTCTTTTTTCCTCTTCTAGTTTCTCCAACTTTCCCCTCATTTTTCAGGGGGGGGGCGGGGCACAAGCATCCCCTTTTGCTCAAGGTTAACTGTTCATGAGGTTTCTTATACGGAATGTTGGTTTGGCTTGAACATCAGTTGACTATGCAATTGAAATTCTGTCACTTCGGCTGTCATAAACTTTGGGACAATGGCAACACGAATCAGTTTGACTTCACCTTACGTTGTTAAAAAAGGGTTCACTGTGTCTAAACTCTTTAACGTAAAGGAAATAGAGCAGACTTTCATTAAACTGATGTTTAAGCTGCACGAGAGAGGAAAATGATGTAAACCTTGTCCCTCGGGCACTAGATATGCGTGTCCTGTACACACTTTGAGTGATTGCGAAACCCCGCCACTTCACACCCGTACCACACCGGGCGCATCCAGCTGCGTTTATAGGTCTCCTCTACCACAGATAGCTTTTAAAAAACGATCTGCCTGGCCATGCCTGTCTTCCCTGTGGAGCAGCTAATGACTGCGGTAAAAGCTAATGCGTTCAATTAAAAAAAGTCGAGTGTCTTCGTGGCCGATGTACCGGTATAATCGCTCGGGCAGAGGCTGAATAAACTTCATGTGTTGTATTAAGCCTGACCTGCACATTTTCTTCGGGTCGCCGGATCATCGGTCCGTAGGACGCACTGATCGCACGTCTGACAAATACAGCGGCGTGCACTGAGAATTCGGATAGACCTGCCAAGCGCATCGGGCGCCCGGATGAAATTGGATATGTTTGATTTTTCCCCAGATCCGATTAAACCAACTTTTATGTCATTGGACTGGTGTGCTGGCAGCACGCTGATTTGATATGACGTAATCTTATGTTAACCAATCAGATTCGCGAATCAGAGCCACGTCGTGATTCAAAATGGCAGCCCCCAGATAAACACCCTCAATGAACTCCACACGATCGGCATAATGACCTTTGATCAACAATGACGGGACACTTGTCGGTAATTTCATCTCTTTAAAGTGTATAGCAAAAGTTGTTTTTGTTCATAACGACTACGGTACCATTTTGTTATCATCACGGGTAACTCATCATCACGTGCATAATCATCACGTGACAGAGTACAGAACGGGATCGTGTTTTCTATTCACCTCTTAGATATGCGTGAAATTACCAATGAAATACCACCTTGTAGGGTGTCTAGTTCTAACCCTACAGAAGGGTTTTAAAACACAAGTACATCAAGAAATTAGTTCATCCAAGGTCAATCGACCTTTCTTAACCTGTCCTTGCCTATGAATTGATAATCCCGGGTCACTGACCCCTGGAAACTTTTGAAGCTTGATATTTGTGTCATAAGTGATATCTACTAATCCGAAGAAACTGGAAACGTCCTTAAGTATGACAGCACATAACTCAGAGCGCTAGTTGTAGGCTACGCGTTCTTAAACTTGCAGTGCCTGCATTTTGGCAAGTTTAAAGACCTTGTCCTGATCATTTGGCTACGGCTGGAAATAATACTCCCACCTACTGAAGCAGCTAACTGACAGGCTGCAGCCATTCCTCATAGACTTGTGTATTATAGCAGCCGTAGCCAAGTGACACGGTCTCAGTGCACAGCAGTCCATAACTTGTGGGAGAAGCATTTAAACGCACACCTACGACCGGCCTGCGAGCTTGGCACCACCGCTGTACAATCTTGTTACAGGATGCATGTGTTTTTATCATACAATCGTCTCAGGATACACCATGTTTAGGGAAATGTTTTATTGGCAGTCTTGAAAGGAGACTAATATTCACGCCTCTTGAAGTTCGCTCTGTTGAAATGTCGAACTTCCTTTGAAAAATATATCCTCCAAGCCAATATTACAGCATGGGGGAGCGGGTTGACGTAGCGGTTCTTTCCTCGCTTTGCACCAATGAGGCCCGGGTTCGAGTCCCGGCTTGGCCCAGGCTTTAAGTGCATTTGGTTTCCAGTCCATACTCGCTCTCGCAGGTTTTCTCCGGGTACTCCGGTTTCCTCCTGCCTCTAAAACTGGACCTTCCTCCTAACTCCGTAATGTGATGCTGATTAATAAAGTGTATGAACAAACGTACAGTTATTGGAGCAAATAGCCTGGGTTGCTGAAAGCGCCATTAAAACAACACCAACACCTAGCCTTTATTCAAGTCGAGTTTCCCTAGCCTGATGTATAAAAGTCGCTTACCAGATCAGTCCATAGATTCAGGTGGAAGGACACTTTATTTTATCGTACTCAGCTGAGAGGTCCTTTGAGAAGAGGCCGCCATTTCAAACTCTCAGAGGAATTGTTCAGACAGGTGTCATTAATCATTTCGGTTTAATCCCAGAACAAATCAAATTGAATGGTAGGACTTAATCCTATTTGCGAATTAAATTATTACGTCTGGTCGGCCGCGTTTCCTTAACATCAAGCTGAATCATCTTATTAAGACGTCATATCGATTGACAGGATAGCAAGACATTCGAAGCATCGACTTCGCAACGTTTTTTTTCCGAAAGTGACGATGTGACCTCCAATCCCTTGTCTCTGCTCGAGTTTCGGCTTTCCAGCGGCTCAGTCGATCGATTGTCAAGAATCATTACGATAGGAGAAACCCAGTCTAAGACACGCGAGACACAATTTGTACAAATTGTGTGGAACTTTTAATCTTGCCCCGATATTAAAGCTGGAAGGAAAAACATCGCTCTTACTGTCAAGGCTGTACCCGAAGCTCCTGTCTAGAGCTAGGTCTAGGCCTTCACTCAACTGGAAATACGCAGAGACGCGCTGACAATTCGCCCCCAGCAGAAGCACCACGCATTGTCGGGAGTGTTTCAGTTGTTGGTCGCGATAGGACCGTGACGCGTGAATTTGCTTGTCGTTCGCGAGCCTGCGAAGTTTAGTTCCGACTAAAGGAGCCTCCACTGCTAAGAAAATAGCCTCCTCTCTTGGTCCAGCTCGAGGCCCGTAAACGTAGTTGTTGCTCCGGAATCAGGCCTATTTCAGACAAGGTTTAAGTTTGCACTAGTGCTTTTTTTTTAGATAAATTAGTTGAAAAGCTTTAATAATTATCAAATCAGCAATATTTCACGATTTTCCTGCGAGTCAAGTGGCTACTTTGCAAGGCCTGAGTATCGCTTTGAGACGAGAGTCATATTTGGAAAGTGTATATCCGTCATGGTCACTTGGTAAAACTTGACGGCGCGCTGACACTTTGCAAATAAAAAACGGTAATTTGGAGACACTTTCTCACATCATCTCAAGACTTTTGACGTCAACCATCACTTTAAAATTAATGCGAGATGAAATGCTACTCATACATTTCAAGGCTAACTCTTGTTGGGAGAGCTGCTCGGAACAGAGCCGACAACGAAACGGTACTCGTATCTCTAGGTACCTTGTGTCATGTGATGAAAACTGTGATCCCTTTGCTATTTTGTGAACCAAAAATGTCGAGGGATTTGGTTCCTATATCACCGAAACGTAGCTGCGAATTAACAGCGCGATATCAACGCCATTAAGTTGAACACTGGTCCCGCAAGCTTGCCATGTCAGAGGGGTCACCCCTTATGTTCAGTAACCCATTTTTCATGCAGACTCATTGGTATATGGAAATAAATCCAAATGAG